CTTTTCCTCGGCTGGTGTCTGAATATCAGGAAATTGGATCTTTTTCCCTCTATTGTTCATGAAATCACGAAATTGGGTAGTTCTTGTGGAAGGACGTTGTAATATGATTAACGTATATTGGAATGGACAGTGTTGAATAGGATATATTTTGAAAGAAAATTGTTCACAATTTTAGCGGCATCCATTTGGGGTTTTAATTAAAATCATAATGACGAACTCCATTTTTAATGGAAAATTAAATTGAATCGATGTATTTTAAAAAATATTGATTTCTAATACCGTTAACTTGGGGTTATACTTTAGCTATGAGATTGATGAAAACTATATATATATATATATATATATATATATATATATAGTTTTCATCTATCTATCTATCTATCTATATATATATATATATATATATATATATATATATATATATATATATATATTATTATTATTATGTATTATTATTATTATTATTTAGACATTTTGTATCGATTAATTTTATTGATCGACTTTTCCAAATTACGTATAATCCTTCTCAGATAAGGAGAAAATTCCGTCAGAAAATGTACAAAGTTAATTTCAGAAGAAATATGGTCAAAGCTTTCGGCTTTAAGTCACCATCAGGGTAGATAAAGACGAAAGGTGATCTTTCTAGAACTGTTGACTGTAGAGACGTGTGTGTGCTTATGTTTTTATATACAATTACAGATGCAGGCCGTATAATTATAATTCTTTTTATATATAGATGGTTGTTTTATTGTATGAGTATTGCTTCGAGGATCATAAATCTGTTTTTATTTTTTTATTTTACTAGTATTTTGGTATTGTTTTTGACTAGCTAATATTACACAGAATATATATATATATATATATATATATATATATATATATATATATATATATATATATATAGGTAACTATACTCGTTTCGAAAAACCTTCGAATTCTTGATTTGCCAATAATCAAATCAATCACGAAGGAAAAAAAGGTTTTAAAAAAAGAAAGAGCTAGAAACATGAAAGTCTGTCGAAAAAAATTGCACAGATACAGGTTTAAAGCCCAAAGAAAAAACCCCGACACGAGTTAAACAACTAACTAAAAAGAGCTCAATACAACCGTAGAGCAGACCTAGATACACCTAGTGAGCCAGACAAACCTACCCAAGTTTCACCTAAGCGGTGTTTTTCACTAAAGCTTTCCCTGACGACCCGCTTAGGTGAAACCTGGATAGGTTTGTCTGTCACTAGCTTTATCTATCTATCTATCTATCTATCTATATATATATATATATATATATATATATATATATATATATATATATATATATATATATATAAATATCTCCACTAATTTGGTATATGTAAGGTTTAAAATGAATTTTGTTAAATGAAAAATCTTTCTTAAAGTTTTCATTTTAGCTTTAATTAAAAGCTAGAGGATTTAAAATTTACTATTTCCAGTAAGCAAAATACTCTGTGGTGTATTTCAAACAGAAATTATATTGATCGCAATTGATTTTTTTTTTCAGTAAAATCGATGAAAATCGGCCATTTTGACACATTTGTAAACAAAAGTTAATTGTCAGTTTTAAAAATATTTCAAAAATAAAATATATATTTCTGAAACGTTATTTGAAGAAAATTAGCAAATTTAAAGTTAAATTAATCTGATTTCAAACAAATATTACTTACTTATAGCATAAAATGTTGTATACAAGCATTTCTTAACCACAGGATCTTGTTTTTCTGGCGTATTAATCTATTTATTGACAGCCGATTGACCGCCGAATGTGTTCAGTGTTAAGTATGGTGTAGCAGACGATAAATTTTATATGAAGGGAAATTTTTTTCCCCCAAGGGGGAACAGCCCTTAAAACACGTGACCTTTTAATGATAATGTTATAGGTTTGATCATCCATACTTCAGAAATTCTGCACGTATATGCGCATACAAAAATAAATCGAAATTCTTTTCAAAATATTCGGGAGTATCAGATTGTAATAAGCTCTATAATATATGATTAGTCAATATAGGTTTACTTAATAATATTTCCTAAGAGTTATCACATTGAAACTGAATTTTAAAAGATTTAAAAGCTTTATAAATTATTCAATTTAAAATTGTAAAAGATGAAAACAAATCACGTAAAAATTCATTTTTCATTGAAAAAAAATTTCTTCAGATAATATTGACTTTAATATATATTCATAAAAGCAATTAAAAACTTCTCTAATTAAATAATTTCTTAGTTTTTTCTGAATCGAAAAATAAAAAAAACGCTATTGCCCGCTTCTCAAGAGAAGATATGTTTGAACATTCAAGATGGCACCCAAGACAACCATCTTTGTTTGAATGACAGATAAGAGTATCAAACTATTTCTTAACTGAAATGTATTGGAATCGATCCTATGTTTGTCTATACCCGCTAAAAGCCCGTTTTTAGCAATTCTCTCATTTCATGTCTTTTTGCATGTTGTATATAAAATATCTTTTAACCTGTTCAATTGTAT